ATTTTGTATATATTTATTTATTTATTTATTTTAAACCGGCTTAAATAAAAGAACAGACTTATAATGCATTTATTTGCTTTGTGTTGATCAAGAATATGGAAACTAGTTACTCATATATTAAAAATATATCTTGTTACTAGACAAGCTGTAGTTCTGATTGACTGATGATCCGATCTGCTTGATCAGAACACGGTGATTGCATGTTAATGCCAAGTGTAAACGCAGCTAGTTGTGGGGATTTTTGGAGATGGTCCTCACTGCAGAACACAAGATCCAGGGGGCGAGGTTGGATCCAGATCCAACTCCTCCCACCTTACATATACCTAAACCTACCCGTCTCCACGCCCTGATCCCTAAACCCACCCTTCAGTGTCACATGATCCTTCAGAAATCATTCTAATATGCTGATTTATTATAAATGTTGCAAACAGTTGTGCTGCTTATTGTTTTAATTATTTATTTTTAAACCTGTGATACTTTTTTTCAGGATTCTTTGATGAATAAAATGTTAAAAATATATATTTCTGAAGGATCATGTGACACTGAAAACTGGAGTAATGGCTGATGAAAATTAAGCTTTGCATTACAGAAATATATTATATTTTAAAGCACATTAAAATAGAAAACTTGTTTAAAATTGTAGTACTATTTCACAATATTACAGTTTTTTTCCCCTGTATTTTTAATTTTAAAAAATGCAGCATTGATAAAGTAATAAAAAACATTTTTTTAAAAATTACTAATCCCAAACTTATGAATTTGATGGATGGATGGATGGATGGATGTAATAAAAAAATCCATGTGAAGGTTAAAGTGACTTATCTGGATATTGTCATGTCTAAGAATATGAAGAGCAGATGTTTTGACACCTAAAAGAACAGTAACTAAATCTGTAGGTATTTATATATCTGGATCCTGATCCTTAAGTGAATATTTTCTTTGAATGATGTTTTATATGTTATTGCTGTTGTGTCTCTACACTGTCATAACTTGACTTCAGTTTATCGTTACAGTGCGAGCAGCACAAGAATGCATATATTCCATTTGCATTCTCATTCATGAGTCGTAGCGAAACCGAAAGGGAGAGAACTGAGAAAAAAAAACAAAAAAAACGGATATAGTCTGAATTTTCCTGTGCATTTGCCTTTCAATTTTTGTTTGTTGTATAGTGGAACAGAAAATACTGTTCTGAAAAACTACAAGCTTGATCAGAACACGGTGATTGCATGTTAATGCCAAGTGTAAACGCAGCTAGTTGTGGGGATTTTTGGAGATGGTCCTCACTGCAGAACACAAGATCCAGGGGGCGAGGTTGGATCCAGATCCAACTCCTCCCACCTTACATATACCTAAACCTACCCGTCTCCACCCCCTGATCCCTAACCCCACCCATCTCCACCCCTAAACCTACCATCTCCACCCCCTAGATGTGGATCCAACCCCACCCCCTGGATCGTTGTTCTGCAGTGAGGGGCTACTGGATTTTTGCAGGTTACGTTGTTATGCCGGTAGGTGGCAGCAAGAGTCTGTCTTTATGAGTGAGTGAGTGAGTGAGTGAGTCTGTCAGGAATCAGTAATGTGAAATCCCTTTAAAGTCGGCATGAAATGGCTTGTCAATCTTTTCTTCCTTAATGTGACATATAATGGAATGGCTTTTTGAACAAGAAAAAAAATGTAGGACAGTACTTGATTTTGTCCATCGGGAGTCGATTTGATCAATGTAGCTTGCTATTGCTGTGATCTCATGTGAGTGACAGGTTGTCCCTCCCTCACACCAGTAAGCACATCATCAGAGAAGAGTAGAAATTTTGTTTTAAGAGGGAGGGGAAGTTACACTGATCAGCCACAGCACTGAAACCACTGAAGTGAGTAACACTGAATACATCGTTCCTATGGCAACTGTCAATTGGGTGGTAGATATTAGACAGCAAATGAACAGTCAGTTCTTGAATATCATGTGCTGGAAGCAGGAAAATGCCGAAGTGAAAAGCTGTGAGTGACTAAAATAGTGATGGCTAGGAGACTGGGTCAGAGCATCTCCAAAAAGACTAGCTAGTCAAAGCCTGACTAACCCGTCTGGTCCAATCACAAAGAAGAGCCACTGTAGCTCAAACTATTGACAAACCTAATGCTAGAAAGGTGTCAGAACACACAGTACATCACAGTTTTGGGGCTGCGTAGCCACAGACTGGTCAGAGTGCCCATGATGATTCCTGTCCACCGCCAAAAGTGCCTACAAAGGGGCATGAGAATCAGACTGGACCATGGAGCATGGAAGAAGGTTGCCTGGTCTGATGAATCATGGTGGAGGCAGTTTTATGCTCTGGCCAATGTTCTGCTGGGAAACCTTTGGATCTGGCATTCATGTCGATGCTATACCTTGACACCTACCTTTGGCAACTCACTTACCTACAAACCATGTACACGCCATGACAATGGTGTTGCCTGATGGCAGTGGCCTCTTTCACTTGAGAGTGTGTGAACCTGACAGGAAGTCAGTGCACAAGACTGTCCCAGGACGGAAAAATGCCAAAGTGCAGTACACATAATGAACACTAAATCTGCATCTCCAAACTGCTTTGAAGTGGTAGGCTATTTGAGGCTTTTGCAACATGTCTATGAAAACTTTCTAGTGCAATTTAAATGAATTAAATATTACATATATAACTTAGTAAAATGTAAAGTGTCTTCTCTGTGTATGTATCACTGTTTAATGTAGCCTGCTAAGTTACTGTTGGGGAGTTTCCTCCTTGCCTCTTGTGGTAGCTAAAGGGGCTGAACCATGTTAACCAGCCAAACCTTGATCAGTTTATCAAAACTCTTAACTTGTCTCCTCTGTCTATCTATCATCTATTTGTGGGACATTCATTGCAAGAGGTGGGACAGAATTAACATTTACTCTTTTACCATTGATCTAGCAGCAAATTACAGTATAATGTAATTGCGAAACAGAAAAGAAAAAGACAACACTATTTTACAGCACAAAAGGGGGAAAAATAACAATTAAAGGTTCAGTATGTAATCGACAGTGTCATGTCCATGATATGATGCTTCATAGCAACACAAGATGAGGTGTATATGTGAACTCTCTTCAGCCTTTACTTAACAGAATCACTTATACACACAAGCATAACCAAACAACCCTGCATGTGTTGAACAACAGACATACATAACAGAACAAAGATGTCTGCTATGCTGATGATATACAACATTTCCTCCACCCTTAAAAAAAGTACTAATTATGTCAGGACAAAAAAATGATCGTGCAGTGCACCATTTAACACATCCCCAAATTGGCAATGCTCCATTTACTTCTTTAATTTAACCACATAAGTGGAAATGGTCTTTCACTCATACGGATTTTGTTTATAGAATCTCAAACATTCAGCAATCAATAACAGTTTGTATGATAAATATTCTTGCATGACTTGAACAAGTTCTGCAAAAGTCTTCTCTGCAGGTCTGTGTGGGGCAGTCAAGCTACGCAAGAGATGGTATGATTTCCACAACTTGCACAGCTACATTTTTATCTTCCCTATATCATTTGCGGTAAAATACTACTGCAGTCTTTCAATATACATATTCCAATGCTCTGTGGAGCTATCAAATGCAGAATCACACCAAACACACAATCATAACCAAACAACCCTGCACAATGTCGAACAATATAATAGAACAATGCTGTGCTCCTATGCTGATGATATACAACAGACAGCTAGTGGTTGAAAAGTAATTCAAATTCAAAATATTGGAGAGAGTTGCTGAGGATACGCAATCTCCCATTGGAAGCACAATCATAAGCCATGTGCTCAACAAAAACACACAAGACTTAGAGTAGAGCACATGTTGAGTGTGCTCACAATGAACAAGACTAGACGAGCACACAGCCAATGAACAAGACCAAAAACCATCAAAACAAAACACAAGTACATGAAACAGGGTCAAAGAGCCCCCACCATGTGCTCACAACAAAAGACAAAACATGGAGCATGAGCATCTGGATTCCAACTAAGAACCAAAACCAAACCAGACAGGAGCATCAGGATCCAGATCCCAGCCTTCAAACACACACAACACACCACATGAGTGTCCTGAATAAAAGATTTGGAGGTTGAACAATAGTTAAAACAATTTCAGTGATCTGACAAATTTACCAACGTGACTTTAACATGATTAAATATCAAACGTGTTAAACTTAATGAAGTGATGATGGTGATGAGGAATTGGGTTTTGTGGTCAGAGCAAAATTGACTTTGACTTCCTTTGCTTGATGTGGGAAGGTTTTTTTTTTTCTTCCTGTCTTTGCTTCAAAGCTGCAGTAGATTCATCTTAAATGTTGTGTGGAGGGAACCAAGTTTTATAGTGTTAAGTGTTTTAACCACGACAACAACATGAGGATCATTCACCTTCAGCTCTGTGAGTTTATTACATGGTATCAATGTATTTACACGCTTTGTAAACATATAAAAATTCTAAATAGTTTTATGTTATGTGTCACAGGTTTTATGTGGTTCATCTTATTTATTTTTATCTTATAGATGTATTAATCTGTTGTCAAGCTGCAGGGGCAGAACTACTGACTGATCTGGGATCAAATGTGATCATAAACTGTGATCTTGATGAAAATGAGGTTTATTGGATTTTACTGAAAACATCAGATCCTCCGACAGTGATTCTACGAACATTTCCAACACCAATATCACCTCATTACTATAATAAAACTTTCAGAAACAAATATTCAGTGAAGTTTAAACATCATCTGGTTATTAAT